TCGAAAGGACGCCCAGATGGTTCCCCCAACAAGTCTATTTCGCGAACTCCCTCTTGATGTAGTTGCTTCAACAGAGTATTGCGCGATACTCCTCTCTTTCTTCCTTCTGCTTCTAGTTCGATTTCTTCTTCAATGTCTGTCATCCCATCGTCCTCTTCATCGTTGTAGGCCTCTCTAGAAGTCTGACCTTCTTCGCATACCAGCAAGCAAGCTTCTCCTTCATTGTCCTCCATCTCTTCTTCTTTTTCTTTATTCTTGAATTCATTGGCCAGTAGGTAATTATTGGCCACAACAGGAGGCAACGTACCGAATTGGATAGTAAGGGGCTGATCTGGATCTTCTTCATCCCTTCTGTCTCGCTCAAACCTTGATCTCCCAGAAGAAGTTTCTGGTAGTTCCTTCATTAATTCATCTGTACCAGCCACTTCACTATTTTTGAGGACATTTTGATTGGCTACCTTGAGTAGTTTAGGCGCTTTAGGATGTGGCACTCCCTGTTGCTGCCTCATCATCCGTCCGTAGTTTCGTTAGAAATGCCTTTATTGGGTCCTGGTCATCTCATTGAAGGGTATTGTCCTTCCTGCATTGTACTGGAATGAATGCCATACATTTGACCGGCGAGGTTGCGGCCTGAATGTTCTTCCATTATCTGCTGGCCTGAACTGCCTCTCAAAAGGCGGTCCTCTATAGAATGATGTACCTCGCCCTCTACCAGGCTGAGTGTTTGGGAAGAAGGTAGGGCGATGAGGATGCTGCCATGTTCCTGGTTTCTCCGTATTTTCATTCACTTCTCTTTTACACCTTGTACACAGGACGTCTTCCTCCTTTTTTGGTTCTTTCCCCTTGATTCATTCAAAGACGCTGGGATGTGGTTTAGGATCCTCTTCCCCATCATCTACGACCAACTTGAATTTTGGCAACTTGTTTTTGAATCCAGACGTCACCATGTTTACTCCAAGTGGCTGTGGGAAAGGATTTTCATCCACTGCCATCTTCTTCTTATCATCGAACGTAATTCGTCCTGATTCAATGGCATCCTGCAATACATGGCGGAAAATTAAGCAATTGTTAGTCAAATGTGACCATGCATTATGCTACTTACAATATTTTTTACCCTTAATTTGTTCAGGGTTTGGTAATTTGTGCTTATCGCTCAACTTTATCTGCTTATCCCTATATAATTTATCAAATATAAGGTCCGCTTTGGTTACGTCGAACGAGAACGTTCTAGCCTTTATGTTTCCATCTTTTATGGGCTCATCTTTACCCGATAGTCTAGGCTTGGCCATTATGGGACAAGTATATGTATCTCCTTTGACCAATTCGGCCAAACACATTTCAGCCTGGTCGTATGACTCGTCACTGATGGTATGAACATCAAAATTTGGGTCTTTGTAATAAGTCCCTTTACTAGAATTTTTCATCTGTTCTTCTTCTCTTATCAGTCGTTCATACCTAATCACATTCGCACTCAACTGAAAAAGGTCAGGAAATTCCTTGTCTTGAAATTTCTTCTTTAAATCAAAGCTCAAGCAGCCTTGAGCGATTTTGATAAATTTTTTTTCGGGCAGAGGTACAAAATACTTGCTTCTTGCTGTCTTGAACATTTGGAGAAAACTTTCTGCCCATTCGTTTGGCATTTGACGTAGATTCGCCAAATCAGCCAAAGTGACTTCAGACTCAGTTTTATAAAACTGAGCGTGAAATAACTGTTCCAATTGTTGCCATGTTTGAACAGAGTTCGCTGGCAAGTTGATGAACCAGGAGAAAGCTACTCCTGTTAACGAACTAGGGAAAAGCCTCATTTTATGGTAATTGGTTACATCACCACTTTGTAATGTGAATCGCCCTATGTGTTCTAGAGTAGACACCTCTCCTAGACAGGTAAACAGTGAGAATTCTGGCACTTTGTACCCTCTAGGCCATGGATATGTTTGGTCTACCCAATCAGGATATGGCTTTGTGTATGTCGGCCTAATGACAGGACGCACCCCAAAAGTCATCTGATCCTGTACGATTTTCATAATCTGATTCCTCAACATGACGTTAGGATCATATGGAATTCCTACAGGCTGATTAACCGGTTGATTTGCATGAGGCCTGATGTTTGGTCCTTGATTGGCAACAAAATTACCATAATTAGGGCCATTACCATTAGCCTGAACATCTATTCCCTCATTAACACGTGGGGTGTACTGTCCATTGTTTAGGACATTATCTCTTATGTTTAGATTACCCCCAAGTTGGGCGTACCACTACCATTGTTCTGATTTAGCACTGCAGTACCCCCTTGGTTTGAAGTGGAGGGACCAGAAAGTGGTTCTACCCCTTGATTCGGATTTAGGACTGAGGGATTATGTCCCACAATTGTCCTAGTTTGAAAGTGATTTGCAAGAGGTGTAACCGGTTGACATATTTGGCCTACTAACTTATTCATTGTTTCGTTCAAAGTATTTAGTTGTTTGGCCATATTGTCATAGTGTGCATTCCCATTTTGAGTAAATCTTTCCATATTATGAATACTTCGAAGATTTACCTGTTCAACAACGTCTTGTGTGAGTTCTCCAAGTAATGCACGCATGGTTCGAGGACTCAACTCCGTCATTGGTTTGTAACGACTGTTACTGCTCTGATTCTGTCCATCTGTTCGTGGAGAGGCATGCTACTCCTCATATCGCTCGATCACAGACTGGATTCCTCCCTGACTTGCTGCTTCCTTATCGGATCTCTGAGGCATATTGTTTCACCTTTTGTACTTTCAACACCAAACACCACAGTCCCACTGGGCGTGCCAAATTGTTTCACGCGGGTTCGTCGCTAACAATTAAAAGGGATCAGACGATTGTGTAAGGGACAAACCTCTTGAGACAAACTCTCAAAAAGGGGTGTTCTTTTATTGGCGATGACTTTACAATAGGAAATTAAAAACAATGTGCCTCCAAGGGGCGCAAGCACACGTGTTACTGAAAGAAAAGTGTTTAAATCTAAGCTAAGGAAATTAAAATTACATGTTCTCTGTTCGAGAGTTTTTGATTCGGTCTCTTGCTCTATATTTTTTTCTCCCTTTTATACTTCATAGACGATCTCTTTGTGATCAACCGCCTAAAAACCGCTTGATCGTCCTATAACTGCCCACTTTCCTCGTAATGACCAACTTGTCATGAAAATTGCCTTTTTTAACTACTGTCATTACTCTTCGTCGTTCAACCGCTTTCGATTGAATTCCTTGAATCGTAGAACGTGATAGGGCTGCTTTAATAACTGCTTTGATAACGGCACGTCTTGATAACCACAACGCTTTATGTTTGTTAAGACCTTGGGCGACTTGAAGGTTTGGACGAGAATAGAATAACAGCTCTGGACGACTTGCAAACTTGGGCGATGGCGTTACCTCGTTCTTGGGCCTCCCTATTTGGGCCTTCATCTTGATTTGTTTGATTGGGCTTCGTTCTTTGGGCTATCTGATTTGGGGATCCTCCAATTGGGTTTCACTCCTTGGGCCGTTCGATTTGGGCTGAATTTTTATGTGTCAACAATGTCAGAATCCATGTCGTGTTTCAAAATTTTTTTGAGCTTATCACACCAACACTTCAAACAACTATCATATGCATTCTGCAATTTTTTTAAATCAAACAAAAACCCAAAAGTATTTTCATATTTTTGAAATTGTTCAAATCTTAACCTAAGCGAAGAAAGAGCTTGATCAACTATATATAAAAAATAATCCACCCTAAATGATTCTTCGGTTGAATGTGTTATCTCGTCATTAACATTTTCATCAAAGTGCTTCTGAATAATACGTTTTTCTTGAAATGCAGGTTAAACTTCCATTTGATTAGCAATTTCTTTAGCAGTAATTTTGTCAAATTCAAATCCAATTTCTCTTTGTGTTTCAAAAAATGAAATAAGTGCTTTCATGTGACTAATAACAGCATCAATAGACATATCTTCACTTTGCAACATTTTGCTTAATCTATTAATAACAAACAGTATATTGTACCAAATAACTATGCTAAAAAAGAACTCAAAATCCATAATGTCAGAAATAAGCTTTGAGCATCTCTATATGTCTTAGGATCATCACATGTTTCCACTAAGTATTTTTAAGCGGCTTTTATTTCTAGTGCTTGAAATCTTATTGCTTTAACACTTTCGACTTGACTTTCCCAACGTGTTTGTGATAGTGGCTTAAGCGTCAGACGTTTCACATTGTCTTGAAAAATTTTCCATTGCTTCATAGAAGATGAAAACTATATATATGTGCATTGTACAATTCCAAAAAAGGATTTAGTCTTTATACAAGAATTTACTATATCACAAAGTGCAAGATTAAGGCTATAACAACCACATGGTGTGCAAAATGCCCTCGGATTTACTTCTAGGACTCTTTTTTGTAAACCTTTATGCTTCCCTTTCACATTAGAACCGTTATCATAACCTTGATCTCTTAAATCACCAATATTAAGTTCAAGTGTTTTCAAAATATCTAATAATTCACCAAACAATCCTTGCCCCAAAGTATCTTCCACCTTAAGGAATCATAAAAAATACTCCTGTACTTTCACTGGAGTTGCTATGACATCTGCATATCGTATTATGAGTGACATTTGTTCTTCATGACTTATATCTAGCGTACAACCAAGTATAACTGAAAAATATTTTGCTTCTCTAACATTTTGAATGATTGCACTTTTGATTTTTCCAGCCAACATGAGTATGAATTCATTTTGAATTTTGTGACTAAGATAATGATAATGAATTTCTTTTTCTTGAATACGACAGATGTGTTCCCTTAAAATTAGATCGAACTCTACAATCATTTCAATTAGACCTAAAAAATTCCCATTATCTTTTTCGTAATTTTTCTCATTAGTCCCCCGAAATGCCAGATTATTCTTGCATAGAAAGCCAACAATAGAAATTATCCTCACAAAAACTTCTCTCCAATATTCTCTATCTTTGTTGATTATATCTTGCATAGCTTTATCAATTGTTAGATTCTATTGTAATCTCCTTTCCAATTCAACCCATCTTCTCGTGTTATGCATGTGTCCATTACTAGTTTCATGACTTTTAAGACTGAAACTAAGATTTTTCCAATCATTGATTTCTTCATTAGCTAATTGAATATTGTTTCCTTCTTGCTTGAACAATTTACAACAAAAGCAAAACACTTTATCCAATGAAATTGAGTAGACCAACCATTTTCTACCACTCTTCTCACCATTTGTTAAATGTTGAATATAATATGTAGAAGAGAAATGCCTATTTTCTAAATCTTTAGGAAAAATAAAACCATCCTGCCTAAGGGGGCCTCTTTTCACTATCAAGTCTATCAAGCTTTGATCAATAGTTTTCCAATTTCCCTGATCAATAATGTCAAAATGCAAAGGTACACATTTTTCAATTTCCTCCAAATTTTCTTGCTCATGATCCACTGAAATTTCATGCTCTCTATTCATATTATCTTCACTTTGAACCTTTTCATTTTCAAATTCTTCATCAACCAAATCTTTCATCGGACTTTCTCTTTTATTATTAATATTACTACCAAGAAACTTGTCCATAGCTCCTACTTGGGATTGAATAAATTTTTCATTTTTTTTTTCTTTTTTCATTTTTAATGTCCAGACAAATACTTTCTAGTAGACATATTAAAGCAATACAACAATTCAACAAAACAAAATCAATACAAAAATATGATATTAAACTTTAAATTAGTTGAGGAACAATAAAACCTGGTCCATGCCATTTTTCCTTTATTGTGTTCGCATAAGAGATGGCTGCAGTCTCTAGGTTTGCTGATGAGTGATGCCTCCAATAATGCTGCGTGGACGGTGGAACATAAAAAAGTGAGACAAAAATGGTAGTGGGATTATTCACATATGTAATCTATTTGCTAGCCTGCACTTTTGGATTAAGCATAAACAATTTGAAAATGAATTGAAAACATTAAGTTTTGAAATTGATTAGTGATTACCAAATTTTGTTAAAGAAAAATGCAATGGCAGTGAGAGAAGATCGGAACCGTATGCTAATATCTTCAAAATTAAACATTCAAAGAGAGAATTAATTTTATGTTGGGTTTAAAAAAATTAATGGTAGGTGACTGTTGGAGTGGAATTTGAAGAGACAAAAAAGACATTTTGTCTTTTAAGAAAAAGAAAAAGGATCTTTGGAAGATAAATTGTCAAATTAGTTATATAGGGAGAGAAAATTATGATTATGATATATTTACACAATAAATACATGTAAGTATTTATAAATTTATACGTTTTTTTAAAAAAATTGCATTTTTAATTTTTATTAATTTCTTGTGTTAACATATGACAATTCTATTTTAAATAATTTCACTAATATAATTTTCGTTTTTCTTTGACTAGCCATAATCTTATAGAGGGGCCTTAGGCTATCGCCTACCTCGTCTATACTCAGGACCACCACTGCATTTTTCCCTTGTCATTCTTTTGGAATTGCAATAGTAATCCTGTAGTATCAGCCATGTCTGCATTTTAAATTTGACTTTATCAACCTTTGTTTTATAACTCAAAATGCCCAAAAGTTGTTTTTGCTTCCAAATCCATAAGAATAATTTGTTAAACCTAGCAAATAGTGGTGCTCAACCTGCAATTAGTTTTTGCTAGTAAAGTGCTAAATTGTGATAAAAACTGACTTCTAATTTTGATCTGATTGTGGTGGGAATGAAATTTATGTTTTACCAACTTTACAATAGGTTGAAAATTCGAAATACCTTAGATGAAATTCAGACAATCACATAATGCAAAACTATATTCTAGGGGATAAATTGACACTACCTTGTAAGCCCCTGTTTGACACTCATTCTAAAAAAAGAAAAAAGAAAAAAAAGGGGGGGTACATTCTTAATCTTGTGGTCAAAGAATGAAAATCAAACGGGAGCTTAATATATGTTACGAACACATTTTATCTGAACTAAAATAAGGAAATAAAGATATATATTAAGTTCAAATATTGGATCAAACCATCATAATTACTATTGACTTGTTCAAACGAAGATAAATAACAATCATTTAAAAATGATTAAAGATGTTCGTACCTTGAATTGAAAATGATCGTTTGAAATTAATTGACAATTTTTTCACATCTCTACTTTGTGTTAGTAATATTTAACCTAATCGAAGTACTAAGCATGCCATAAAAGGCAACTTTTAATAAAATTTCCATGTAATACTCCAACCTTTACTGATTATAATAATTTATTTTTTTCACTCTTTCTTGCTGGGCCATTTTTAGTACCCACGGCCCATTAATTATCCTTACTTGGGCTACAGCCTAAAACATTTTCACTTTGGCCCATTTTCATTATAATTTTCTCGTATAAGTCTAGATTATTCCATTGCAGCCGTCGTTCGGCCATCAATAAACCCTAAAATTCCTCTATACCCTAACCTTCATGACTCCTATATAAATCCCTTATCAGAATAATAAACCAATAAGAAGGCACTTTCTTTTATTTTTTTCTTGTCTCAAAGTATTTCTTTCTACGTATATGCATTTTGATATAGAGTTCTTACGGGGAATGTTATTGAACTCGAATTGGAATTGGAATTGGAATCGTAATCGGAATCGGAATCGGTGTCGGTGATGATAAATTGAAGGCTTGTTTCTCAAAACATTCGCAGTGGCCGCCTGAGAACTTTCGCCTTCGCCAGGCTTGAGAGTTTGTGCTGCTTTTATCCTTCCTTGGATATCTGAGACACCTTTTTTCCACTCACTCAGTTTTTTGTATGGATCTGTATCGATTGCCTTTAGTTTTTCAACTGGCATCCAATCTTTTATTTAATCCATCTTTCTGAAGGGATTTTAAGTAATTTTATTATTGATTTGATTTTGAACCGATTTGGTCAGTGATGATAAATCCAAAGGCTTGTTTCTCAAAACATTCGCAGTGGCCGCCTAAGAGCTTTCGCCTTCGCCAGGCTTGAGAGCTTATGCTGCTTCTATCCTTCCTTGGATGTCTGAGACTATGATTTTTCTTGATTTTTTCCCCTATATTTTTTTGGCTTCTTTTCAATCATGTATTATTTATTAAAATAATATTACATGTAAATAAATAAAAAATTTCTTTATTTTTCAACAACAGATTTTTCATCAATTTATTTAAAGATTTATTTTTTTCATAAAAATGAGGCTAAAACAATGTTGTGCTGATTGCCATTCTTTAATTGAATAGTTTTTAATTTTTTTTTAGCAGCTTATTGTGAAGAAAGCCATTTCTGTGAAAATGTTAATTTAACAATTTAAAATAGTGAAATTTAAATAGTCTTTTGAACATAATTTTAATAGTTGATTTTTTAAAATAAAAATAATTTTATATTTAAAGAATTTCTTAAATGATTTCAGACTACGTGAAATTGTACAATAAGTTAGATTAGAGGCGAATTTATACGATAAATTCAATGGACAGAGTCCCCCTTACCAACATATATGACTAGTGTTTTGAAAATTGGATTGCACTTGTTGGCTCAACAGGAAAACCCAAGAACCAATTCGGTCATAAGGGCAAAATTGGATGAGAAAAAATTAGTGTAGAATTTGGCAACCGTTTGGCTTAATCGGAAAACTGACGAATTGGGTATGGTTCATCGGTTATATTTTTTTGAAAGAAAAATTAAAAGGAATACAAGCAAGCTTTGTCAATACCGTATTTCAAATTGCCAAAAACTCTTGTTGAATCAATGATCTTATTTCATCCAAAAAAAAATTAAAAAGAACGTAGGAACAAACTAATATTTATGCTCGTACTTGGTATATATATATATTCGTATGTTAAGTCGTGATACACGTACAGGCAGAGACTCACAGGCTTTTGTCAGAACAAACACAAGGGTGGGGCCCTTTTTTTTTATTTTTTAACCAAACATTTTCTATCAATACACTATTTAAAAATACATTTTCATTCCAATAACGTGGCTCAAACAATGGCTTATATGCATGTATTTGTATGGGTATATATTTGTATATGTGTGAAAGTAAAATCAGAAAAGAAGAGGCCCTTTTTTCATTTTTGGATCGATGTTCGGGTCGATTTTTAAAACATTGCATATGATATACAATTTTGACCAATCATCTGAAACCTTAAATTTATGCTAATTTAATGATCTTCATCAATTATATTAAAATCCTTAAAAATTTATACCCTCAAATTGAAAAATATCATAATCACCTTTTAAAAACATAAAATACCATGTAAGAAGCAATTTTTAAGAGAGAAACAAAAATAGAAATCATAATTACTCATTTAATTTTTTCACAGTCGATTGTCTACCTCAAAAAATTATACAGATACGAGAAACACATTCTTGAAATGGCAATTCATTTATATATCCCACTATTTACTAAACCACAATTTCATTTGCATTACCATATGTTGACACACAAAAAGTTCAGCCCAAATCGAATAGTACAAGGGATGAAGTCCAATTGAAAGATCTCCAAAAATCAAATAGTCCAAAAAACGAACCAATCAAGCAATGCAGGATAAAGGCCCAAATAGGGAAGTCCATGAACGTGGTAATACTATCGTCCAAGGTTGCAAGTCGCCCAAGATTTGAGCGAATGAATTGTCATGCAGTCGTCCAGAACTGTGACCCTACTCTCGTCCAAACATTCGAGTCGCCCAACATCTTAGCAAACATAAGATGTTATGGTTATCTAAAAGTGCAGTTAATGAAGCAGTTATTGAGTAGTCCTATCACGTTCCACGATTTAAGGAATTCAATTGAAGACGATTGAACGACAAAAGTAATGGCAACAGTTAGAGAAGGCAGTTCCACAACAAGTTGGCCACTACGAGCAAAGTGGGCAGTTATAGAGCGATCAAGCAGTTTTTAAGCGGTTAATTACGAAGAGATCATCCATGGAGTATAAAAGGAAGAAAATAAGTAGAGCAAACCCCCCCGAATCAAACACTCTCAAACAGAGAATATATAATTTTAAATTTCTTAGTTTAAATTTAAAAATTTCTTTTTTTAGTAATTCGTGTGCTTGCTCCCATTGGAGGCATCCTGTTTTTATTTTCCAATTGTAAAGTCATCGCCAATAAAAAACACCCCTTTTTTGGACTGTCTCAAGAGGTTTGTCCCTTACACAATCGTCTAATCCCTTTTTAATTGTTAGCGACTAACCCGTACGAAACAATTTGACACGCCCAGTGGGACAGTGGTGTTTGGTGTTGAAGATGACAAAAAGTGAAACAATATGCCTCAGAGATCCGATAAGGAAGCAGCAAGTCAGGGAGGAGTCCAGTCTGTGATCGAGCGATATGAGGAGCATCATAGCTCTCCACGAACAGATTGATAGAATCAAAGCAGTAACAGTCGTTACGAATCAATGGCAGAGTTGAGTCCTCGAACTATGCGTACACTATTTGGAGAATTCACACAAGATGTCGTTGAACAGGTAAATTTTTGAAATATTCATAATATGGAAAGATTTACCCAGAATGGGAATGCACATTATGACAACATGACCAAACAACTGAATACTTTGAATAAAATAATGAATAAGTTAGTAGACCAAATTTGTC